CTTGGCAGTTACATATTTAACGGTATATGTTTACTTAATAAAATGTTCCCTCTTTGTAGTCTCTACCAATATGTAATTGAAGCTTTGTTTTAAATATTTTAATGTGTTTATAGTGAAAGAAGTTTACATAGCAAATTAGGTTCTCATTTAATAATTTCTACACAATTTGTTCAGTGACACTGGTTACATTTTTTACAGATTGTCAACTTTCTCATTATTTTTTTCTGATTGTTCCATGTCCAATAATTTAGTTTCCTTTCTCCCTTGACTTCTTGTCTTTGCTTTTGAATGCATGTTGAACAATTGTTCTCAAAAAGATCATTGAAAAAATCTTTTTATTGTGAATTCAGTGAAGGTTTACAGAGCACATCATCAGTTTTACATTCAATAAATCATACACGTTGTTTAATCTTGATTGTAGGCCCCTACTTGTAACATCACTTAACCCACTTCTGCCTTGTGGTTTTGTTTCCATGTTTCCTCTTTCTTCTTCTATCCTTCTGAATTTTGTCCTTAGATAAATGCTGCCCTTTTGATCTCAAATACTTGATCATTCTAGAGTATGCTTACTTCTCTAGTGTTGTCTCCCCTATATGCCTTTCTATTGCTTGACTGACAACTGAGATATAGGGGTGAGTTCAGCTCCAGACCTGAAGGATGACCAAGTCTCTATCTGATCTACAAGCCTGGTCTTTATATATGTATGTGCTTAAGTGCTGTCGAGTTAATTCCCACCCATAGCAACCCAGTATAGGGTTCCCAAGGAGCAGCTGGTGAGCTTGAACCACCGATCTTGCCGTTCAAACAACTTTTCAGTCTGATGCATTAGCCCACAGCACCACACCAGGACTATATGTATATATATATGTGTGTGTGTGTGTGTGTGTATGATATTGAATTTTGTTCTACATTTTCTCCCACTCTATCTAGGACCTTCTAATGTGATTCCTTCCAGAGCAGTTGGCAGTGGTAGTTGGGCACCATCTCTGGTTCTTCTGTTTTCAGACTAATGTTCACGTGGTCTGTTACTCCATTGAACTAATTGTTTCTAAGCGGCTTCAATGCTTATCACTTTTCTTTCCTCTGCACAGAGGTAGACCAATAATTACACTTTAGATGGTTGCTCATGAGTTTTTAAGATCCAAGTCTCTGCTCATCAAAGTAGGATATAGAACATTGTTTTTGAGTACTATGTTATGCTGATTGACTGTGGGGTCCCTTGATACTAGGGTCCTGAGGCCCCAGGTCCAGTAATTCATTCCTTCAAGGTGTTTAGTTATGTCTAAGAAATTTGCATAATTTTGCTCCCCCACATTCCTGTATATGGTTGCAGCAAAGGTAAATACCCATGTACAAATAGCCTCTTTCAAACCTTGTATATATTTGTGGATATACTTCCAGTCTACCTCCCATACCCATTCAACCTGTACATCTATCCATGTTTCTACCTGTTGTTGTTATTGTTATTAGGTGCTGTCGAGTCAGTTCTGACTCATAGTGACTCGATGCACAACAGAATGAAACACTGCCAAGTCTTGCATCGTCCTCACAAATGTTACCATGATTGAGCTCATTGTGGCTCCACTGTGTCAATCCATCTCCTTGAGGGTCTTCCTATTTTCACTGACCCTCTATTTTGCCAAATATGATGTCCTTCTCCAGGGACTGGTCCCTCCTGATGTCATGTCCAAAATATGAGAGACAAAGTCTCATCATACTTATTTCAAAGGAGCATTCTGACTGCACTTCTTCCAAGACAGAATTGTTCGTTTTTCTGGCAGTCCATGGTACTTTCAATATTCTTCACCAACACCATAATTAAAATTTATTAATTCTTTCATGGTCTTCCTTATTCATTGTCCAACTTTCACATGCATATGAAGCAATTGAAAATCCTGTGGCTTATGTCAGGCTCACCTTAGTCCTCAAAGTGCTATCTTTGCTCTTTAGCATTTTACAGAGGTCTTTTGCAGCAGATTTTCCCAATGGAATATGCCATTTGATTTCTTGGCTACTATTTTCATGAGTATTGATTGTGGATCCAAGTAAAATGAAATCTTTGATAACTTCAGTCTTCTCTCCATTTATCATGATGTTATTTATGAGTCCAATTGTGAGGATTTTCATTTGCTTTACGCTGAGGTGCAATCCATACTGAAGGCTGTGGCCTTTGATTTTCATCAGTAAGTATTCCAAATACAGTAAGTATAGAACATTACTGTTATTGCAGGATTGTGTGTTGTTGTTGTTGAGTTGGTTCTGACTCATAGCGATCCTGTATAGGGTTTGTGAGGTTTTAAAAAAATCTTTCTGAGAGCAGAAAGCCTCATCTTTCTGCCATGGAGCAACTGGTGGGTTTGAACCGCTGACCTTGTGGTTCACAGTCCAGTGCTTATTATATGGAGCCACCACATTCCCTCAGAGGTAAATACAAAGGTAAATTATATTCAGGATCTGATATTTTTTAACTCTTGTACTCCTTCCCTTGCCTTCCCCTGCCTCCATCATTCTTTTGCCAACTTCCCACCCACGTTAACACGTGTCTAAAGATGAGGCTTTCTGCTCCTGTGAAGATATAAAGACTCGGAAACCCTATACAGGATTGCTATGAGTCAGAACCGACTCAGTGGCACTTAACAACAATAACCCTCTAGCCAGTGAATTACTCTCCTTTTCCTCCCATCCCTGGTAACCATTGAAGAGTTTCTTTTAGTATGAAAACCCCTTTTCTTGACTTTTTACAATAGTGGTCTCATGATTTCTCCCCTTGTGATGGACTAATTTATCTCAGCATGATGTCCTCCAGGTTCATCCACATAGATAGTTTTATTGGCCCATAGCCCTATCTATTCATTTCCATACTGTGTATGGCTGCTTTGGGGACTACAAAGGCAGAGTTGAGTAGTTGCTAAAAAAGCTATATGATCCACAAGCTTCAACCTGTCCAGTAGAATTATTAGTGACTTGTTAGTTACTATCAACTCAGCGCCACCTCGTGGTGACCTGATGCCTAACAAAATGAAATGGTGCCAGTCCTGCTCCATCTTCAAGATTTGAGTCCACTGTGTGTGAGTCCATTGTGTGTGAGTCCATTGTGTGTGAGTCCATTGTGTGACTGTAGTGTCAATCCTCATTTTCACTGACCCTCTAGCAGCCATGAGGGCCTTCCTAGCAGTTGTTCTTTCCTGATGACATGTCTATAGTAAGTCAGTCAAAGTCTCACCATCCTTGCTTATAAGTTGGGTAGTTTCTAAGATTGATGTTTGTTCTTCTGAATCCCATAGTATATTTAATACTCTTTGCCAACATCATAGTTGTTGTTGTTAGGTGAAGTGGGATAGGTTCTGACTCATAACTACCCTACGCACAGCAGAACGAAGCACTGCCCAGTCCTGAGCCAGCTTCACAATCATTATGTTTGAGCCCATTGCTGCTGCCACTGTGTCAACAACACCTCATTGATGTTGTTGTTGTGCCATCGAATTGGTTCTGACTCATAGCAACCCTACGCACAACAGAACGAAACACTGCCCAGTCCTGGGCCAACCTCACAATTGTTGCCACGCTTGAGCCCACTGATGCTGCCACTTTGCTAATTCATCTCGTTGGGGCCTTCCTCTTTTTCTCTGACCCTCCATCTAACCAAACATGATGTCCTTCTCCAGTGACTGGTTCCTCCTGACAATACGTCCGAAATATGAGAGACGAAGTCTGGTTATTCTGGCTTCTCAGGAGCGTCTGACTGTACTTCTTCCAACACAGCTTTGTTAGTTCTTCTGGCAGTCCGTGATCCTTTTAACATTCTTCTTCAACACCATAACTCAAATGCATCAAAAGGTCTTCTTTATTCATTGTTTTAACTTTCCCATGCATAGGAGGCTACTGAAAATAACATATTAATTCTTCTGTCTTCTTTTTCATTATCCAACTTTCACATGCATGACGTAATTGAAAAAAAACTACAGCTTGGGACAGACACACCTTAGTCATCAAATGGCATGTTTGCTTTTTAAAAGTTCAAGGTCTTTTGTAGCAGATTTGCCCATTGCAGTATATCACTTGACTTCTTGAGTCAGCTTCCATGGAGTTGCAAACATGAAAAACACTTTCTTGACACAGAGCAAGAAATGTAAACATTTGAAGGACCCATGCTGCTCTTCCCTTTTCTTAGTTACAACTGATATTAATTATCGTTGGAGATGAAAAAGACTTGGGGTTTCAGATCTCTTTATGACAAAGAATCAGAGTCTCCTGCTCAGATAAAGGACAGTTTGCAAAGTGAGATGGCTAAAAAGCCAGGGCCAGGCAGGGTTTTCCAAAGGCCCCTGTTTAACTTGGAATTATCAAGAAAGGCATAGAGTAGGATGCCTTACCCAATCTGGCTGATCAGGGAACCCTTCTGCTATGGGAGATCTTACAGGGGTATGGTTCCATGGAGCATACTTCAGGAAACGTTAAAATGACAGCTGTCAAATGTATCAGAAAGTAGGACAAAGGACCCTGGCTTACCCATGATTCTTCTGTCTTCTTATTTTGAAGGATGCTATCAGTGTGAACACTTCAAACAGGTGGGGTAGTATAGTGGTTGGGGGACTGCATACTGGAATCTCAAAGACCTATGTGCCAAATTGGGTCTTGTACTGATTCTCAGTGAACTCTCAGGCAAGACTCTTAGTTTTTCAACCTCAATTTCCACATCTGTAGAATGGGACGATGATAACAGTGGGTAAGAGCTGAATGATGAAGTGAAGTTCGGCATCAGTCTGAGGCTAGGGTTCTGGACTGGGCTCAGCTGTCTGCTTACCCCACTTCACACATCCCTCATCACTGGAACATCTGGAAATGGCCTGAAACTTGTATGACCCAAGGAGGGTCCCTGAGGGAATTGCTGAATGGTGGTGGTGGACAGGTTTGAGGGGCAGTCCCAAAGAGATGAGGACCTGCCAAAGGGATGCAGGCCCCCTTTCCTGAAGCCTTCTCTCTTAGGTCCCTGAGACGTGATGGCGTGGCTGTGGCTGTCCTTCGTCTTGCTTCCTGCCCTCATGGTGCCTGGTAGGTGTTTCCCCTTCCCCACCAGAGCAGCACTAGACTGGTAACCCATGGCAGGGATGATGTCATCACCCATCAACAAGCACCTAGCTTTCATGGCCCAATCTTGTGCGTGGCTGCCCTGGGAAGCTTTGGAAGGGATTCAGGTCTGGGTGGGTAGACTGTTGGCACTGGAGAGGACTCTGGAGAGGTAAGTGGGGTCAGATATTGCAGATGGTCCAGATATTACACTGTCCTGTCTTCCTATAGTGACAGCCAACCTGGCCCCAACTTTCCTGGCTAACATGTCAGTAGTGACTCTGGCTGAGGATATTCCAGTAGGTGAGTAATCATCCAGTGCCCTTTGCCCAAGCCTGCAAGCGGGTCTCAGGGACTTTCAGGGGCAGCTCCACCCACCTCTGGTCAGGAGGAAAAGCCAGTAAACCAATAAACCGGTTTCTATCAAGTCAGTACCAACTCATGGTGACCCCATGTGTGTCAGAGTAGGACTGTGCTCCATAGGCTTGTCAGTGGTGGAGAGTTTGGAAGCAGAGCACCAGACCTTTCTTCTACCGTACCTCTGGATAGACTTGAAACTCCAGCTGAGTGTATTAACCACTTTCACTACCCAGGGACTCCATCAGGGGGCACAGGGGGTCTGAAGTAAGCTTATTCGTTTTCAGAAGTTTGTTTTTTCCTCCTTAGCTCTTACACCCATTAAGTATGTTGTTGTTGTTGTTAAGTGATTCATAGTGACTCTGTATAGAGTTTCCAAGGAGTGGCTGGTGGATTTCAACTGTTTTCCTTGTGATTAGCAGTCCTGTGCTTATCGTACAGTGTCACACCAGGATTCTATACCCATTAGGTAATGTTGTTGTTAAGTGCCACTGAGTCAGCCCTGAGTCATATCAACCCTGCATAGGGTTTCTGAGGAGTGACTGGTGGGTTTGAACCACTGAACTTGTGCTATCAGTCCAGTGCATATCCTACAGTGCCACATCATAGGGGTTAGGATTTGCAACACATATTTTTGGGTGACACAATCCCTTCTTTGCCCCCTTCCTCCTTACAATTAACGTCTTTCCCACATAAAACCATCCCAAATGATTTATCAACAAGTACAAAGTTTCATCTGCTGAATCATCTAAATCAAGTATAGGTAAGATTTTGCTGGGCATATGCCACCTGGGATACAATTCCTCTCCATCAGTGAACCTCTGAAACCTAAAACACAAGTTCTCTGCTTCCAAAGTACAATGGTAGAGCAAACTCAGGGTAGACGTTTCCATTGCAAATGGGAGAAATTGAAGGGAAAAAAGGACTCACAGGGACTAAGCAAGTTTAAAACCCACCAGAGTAAATTATATTAACTCTTAAGGCTTGAAAATAATCCTGTGTTCTCTGGGCAATATCATCACTCTGTATTAGGCTGGCTTCTCTAGAGAAGGAGAATTAGTCAAAAATTACCTGCATTGTGGCTGTAGAATTTATTTTAATCAACCTTTAGAAAAAATAAATACCTCATTTTTGACATAATCTCCTTGCTCTTTAATATATTTTGTCCATATGCCAACAAGCTTTTGTATTCCCTTATGAAAAAACATTTAAGGCTGAGCGGTGAGTCACGAATATACCACTGTCCTCACTATCAGAGGTGAATCTTAGTCCTTGAAAGGCTGCTTTCACGGGACCAAACAGGTGAAAGTCCTGTGGAGCAAGGTGAGGACAATAGGGAGGATGCTTTAGCACCTCAAAGTGAAGTTTTTGCAGTGTCCACAGTGTGGACAGAGGTGTGTGGACGTGCACTGTCATGCAAGATCACAGTGCCCTTGGATAGCCATCTCTGTGTTTAATCTTAAATTTAGGTTTCAGCTCTTCAGTGAGCATCTCACTGTAATGAGCACTGTTGAATGTTGAACTTTTTTTCTGATAGTGTTCTAATACTGCCCTTGAGAATCCCAGAGAACTATAAGCATACATTTTTCAGATGACGGTTGACTTTTGAACTTTTTCATGGTTGGCGATTGAGGATGAATCCATTCCATATTCTACCTATTGCTCTTAGGCTCTTTTTAAAGAAATTTTTTTCTTCCTTCAAGTATCAGTCCAAATTATGTTTACAGATGTCCATATTCACACCTGCATAGCAGCAAACTTGAACGGAAAGCGCTGATAAGACAGTGCAGCCAACAGAACTTTTAATATAACTGAAGTGCATATAATTTTTGACTCACCCATATATATATATTATTGTTACTAAGTGCTGTCGAGTTGATGTTGACTCATAATGACCCTGTATAGGGATTCTGAGGAACAGCTGGTGAGCTTGAACCACTGACTCTTACAGTTCAGTTTTGATGAAAGTCATTTCATCAAAATAAGTCAATTGCACACAAAAAACTATATGTCAGCACTTTTATAAAATAACATGAATAGTTAAATTACCAGAAACTAATGTTAGTGGTTACCAAGGGTGGGGATTCAGGGAGAGAGAGAATAATCCCTAGGTAGTAGTCACTTTTTGTTTCTAGAAATGGAGGAAAACAACTAACCCAAATTCACTGCCATTGAGTCAATTTCTACTCATCGTAGACCTGGAAGGTAGGCAACTATTAGGGCCAAGAGGCTTCCACCCAGAATCTGAAAATCAAAGCCAATACACTTGATCCAATCTTAGAAGACAGACTTAAAGATGAACCATGTAAAATGAAACCAGAACTTAAAGATGTAGAGAGTATGATTGTTAAGGTTTTGTAACTTAAGTGGGCCAGAATTCTCAGTGGTTAAGCAGTGAAGACATAGTAATCACCCATGATGAGATCTAATACAATGTAATACATGAAATCTGCTATAAGCAGTCAATCAATTGAAAGGTAGTTTCTTCTGGGGTGTGCCTGCTTCTACTATATTTGAATATATTGATCACTTGGGGGGAAGTTTGCTTGCTTTTTGTTGGGTCTGGATCCTTATCTGGCTTGTCATCTGATTTCTGGTTCTTTGGATATGACCAAGGACCTGTTGCACTGCATGCTGATACTTGGGGTTGTCAGTAGCCTGCCTTCTTACTTGCCAAACTTAGATTCATTCACCTCTGCAACCTGCTCTCTGACCTGCCAATCTCGGGCTTATCAACTCCCATAGCTATGTGAGTCAGGAGAATCCTTCAGTCTGACATCTCATGCATGGACTTGGAATTTGCCCACTTTTACAACTGTGTGAGCCATTTCCTTGATATAAACATATATTTCGTTGTTGTTAAGTGCCACCAAGACAGTTCTGACCCATAGCAACCTTGTATAGGGTTTCCCAGGAGTAGCTGGTGAACTTGAACCACCCACATTGTTGTTCAGACCAACTTTGCAGTTCAGTGCATTAGCCCACAGCACCACACTGGACTCCAATTAGGGAGACTATTTTGATTCCAGAAAAAGTAGATGGTTCAAAGAACTAGGGACAGTGAGGTTTATAAAGAGAAGATCAGAAAGAAATATAGAAAATCAACCATTGACTGATCTTCACATGGTGGAACCCTGTCCTCCCATTTACTAAAATCAACTGATATCAGGTCACAAGGTAGTCTCTGACCCTCTGCTCAACCAGGTCTTTTGAAATTCAAATTTAATAAACCTGGCTTTGAACAAGAAAGAAAAAAATTTGCAACTTTGGGTGAACGAAAAGCTCAGGGTCAGGTATTTCTTTAAAGTGAGTTATTTGGTTTGGTGAATAAGGAGCCCCCAAAATCAAAGCAAGATCTTTAGTTATCAATTTTTCTCTTAGACATCACAAATTGTCCTTCCAACCTCTACTAAATAAGCAAACACCAGTCTCTCTGCAGATTGTCATGGCCCCTGGAGGAATCAATAATTTCCTAAAATAAAGCACAGAACTCATGGAAACTATTCCCTACACATACACTTACCCATTTATTAAAACCAGAAAGGATACAGGGGAAAAGACACATCAGACAAGATCTGGGAGAGGTCCTGGCACTGTAAGACTTCCCTTGTCCCCTGGGACATGCCACCTTCTTCATTCATGAATGCTTTCACCAATCTCAAAAGCCCTAGAGATGAGAGCTCCAAGGTTCAATGTCCCTTATTCAGTGGACCCTCAATGCACATACATGGCTTGAACATGGCATCATGCCCCTTTTCTTCCTGAAGTTAGTTACCAGGTGATGAATTGGAGGGTTCCTAATTAATGTGCACACATTTAAGCATTGCCTGGCTGTTTAAAAAAACAAAAACACCTAGATTACTGGGGAATTTCAAAGGCTAGTTTCCAAAACAAGAGAAACAAGGCTACACTGAGTTCCTTGTCCTACACAGACTCCTTCCTCCAGAAAAGACATTAGACTTGTATTTTCTGACTGCATTGGACTAAAGATAAATATAATGCAGGCTATTATTGTTGTTGTTAAATGCCATCAAGTCGATTCCGACCCATAGCGACCCTGTATAGGGTTTCCGAGGAGCAGCTGGTGAGCTTGAACTGCCAACCTTGCAGTTCAAAAAACTTTATAGTCCAGCACATTAACCCACAGCACCAGACCAGGACTCCATAATGCAGGTTGGATTATAATAATTTTTTCTTCTAATTTATTTCATTTTATTGTGGTAAAAATATCAAAGAAGAAAATCTCATACTCTGTTAGGAGTGAAAGAAAAGAGGTTTTATTGAGGAGTAATATGAGAGGATGCTTCAGAAAGTTTGTGGAAATTTTCCGTTATCTTTTGATTCCTCCATTCCTGCTCTGGCATGAGTCCTTTCATATTTGAAATCTTCTGGCTGTATATTTCCCCCCTTTTGATCAAGCCTTTGCTGAAGGGTTCATATTACTCACAATGAAGTAGTCTCTTCTTCTGCAAGCACTTTGTCTTCTTGAGGAACCTTGTTTGTTTGTTTGTTAAGTGCCGTCGAGTCGGTTCCGACCCATAGCGACCCTGTACAGGGTTTCCGAGGGTGTAAATCCTTACGGGAGTAGAAAGCCTCATCTTTCTCCCGCGGAGCGGCTGGTATTTTCGAACCGCTGACCTTAAGGTTCGCAGCCCGATTCGTAACCACTAAGCTACCAGAGGAACCTTAGCTTTTTTTTTTTTAATTTTCCTTTGTCAAATGAATAGGCTTCGTCTTTAGGTTTTTGTTTTCTTAAAGCAGTGGTGATAAAGGAATCCTTGTCTGGCACCCCGCTGTAAAGGGAATGCTTTCAGTTTCTCTCCATTGAGAGTAATGTTGGCTTTTAGTTTTTGGTTGTCGTTGTTGCTGTTGTGAAATGCCATAGAGTCAGTTCTGATGCATAGCAACCCTGTATAGGGCTTCTAAGGAGTGCCTGGTGGATTTGAACTGCCAACCTCATGGTTAGCAGTACAGTGCTTAGCCTATATGATCACACTAGGACTCTGTTAGTTTTATATATATTCCTTAATTATGTTAAGGAATTTCCCTTCTATTTTTATTTTGTTGAATGTTTTTATCAGGAATCATTGTTGAATTTTGTCAAATGCATTTTCTGCATCTGTTGGTATGATCATGTAGTTATTTTCCTTTGTTTTGTTTATGTGGTGGATTATGTTGATTATTTTTTAAATATTGAACCATCCTTGCATATCTGGTATGAATCCTACTTAATCATGATATATTCCTTTTTGATATATTGTTGGATTCTGTCAGCTAGGATTTTGTTGAGAATTTTTGCATTTATGTTCATGAGGGATTTTGGTCTATACTTTTCTTTATTAGTCATATCTTTGCCTGGTTTTGGTATCAGGATTGTGCTCACTTTATAAAATTAATTTGGATGTTTCCGTTCTTTTCTGCATTCTGGAATAGTGTTAGTAGAATTCATGTCAGCTCTTCTCTGAATGTTTGGTAGAATTCACCAGTGAAGCCAATTGGGCCCAGACTTTTTTTTTCTTTTTCGGTTGGGAATTTCTTAATGACCTGACCAATTTCTTCTTTTGAATAGGTTTTATAGTTTGAATAGGTTTCTTTTTTTTTTTATGGTTGAATAGGTTTCTTGACAGAAAGTCCATATTTGAGGAACATTTCACAGTCAAGACAAATATTAGAGAGTAGAATAAAACATGCCCATACAGACAAAGAAAAATGATTTAAAAACACGATCCTTGTGGAAAGCTTGTGAAACAAACATGATTTTATGTGAAGGATTAAATGGTTTTGAAGTACAACATTTCATGCCTAAAATGTGTTGAACTAAATAAAGCCTACCAGCATTTTATAATTATATTAACAGAAATTATTAGATAAATGGGCTCGATGGCACCTAAAAACAATAATGTTCATCTTTTGTCTATTTTTTAACTTGTAGATTCATTTTTCCAATGGTCAGGTTTTTCTCATTAATGACAAATGTCCCCTTTTGTGCCATTACCAGGTCAACATTTACTATTTATTTACTTTTTTGACAAGGAGATTCTAACTGTGGTAACTGAAGAGCCATTAATTAATTGATTAGATTTAGGAAACCTTCTGGTTTCAAGAGTCTGTGAAAGTTTGTAAGGTAAGTTGGTTACTTCGATAACAGGCTCTGTCTTCCAGTCTAATCATGGTCGCCTTACTAAGCTGAGAGCACTGGTTTAAAACCAAGTATGGAAACAGAATAGAAAGCTCTAGAAACACCAGGTATGGTTAAAGTAAGTCCAGAATGTTTGGAAACATTTGGAGCAGCCAAGCCTGATAATCATAAACACGTTCATCTTTATTTTGTTTACAAGAGTGAATTTTAATCCAATCAGTTGGCAGCGAAAAGGCCTTTGGGATAGCCTCTAGTAATTTTTTACCTGAGAGTTTTCCAACAGCTTGGTGGCCATTTTGCCAATATTTAAGGCTAAGCTGTCCTTAGAATCTTTCCAGTCTGCTACTCTAGCCATAATTGGGCGTCCCATGGGAAGAAGCCAATACAGTGGAGGAATGCAGGCAAAATGAGTGGAAAATTGTATTTGACATTGATCCAGCATCAACTTTAGAGTCCTTTGAAATATAAAGGTCAGCTATTTTGATAGGCAGGAGGGCGGAGGTGGAGATGGAAGTGATTTTACCCTCTAGGTGAGCGGTACCCCTTGGTTTGGTTATACACTGTCTTCCTAGGAGCAAATAGTTACATCCTGACCTTTTGCTTCCTGGGAATGCTTGTTAATCCCACCATTCCTAGTATATGATGAATGCTCCATGTTTGTAAATTTCTGTCTGCAAAAAATATCATACAGTTCCATTACATTGATTTCTGTGTGCAATCATTCTCATTTCCAAATCACTTCACCACCATTAGCATAAACTCAATCGCCCCTAAGCAAGAACTCCCTTCCTTCTGATTTTAAAAGAAATTAAACATGTTTGTGGTCTCATAAAATACCATGGGTCCTAAACACCTGTGTCCCGTACCCTGCTGGGTGACATTGTGGGAGTTTGGGGAAATCCATTTTGATTAAGCAGAAGAGGATAGAATGGGGAAACTGAGGACAGAGGGAGCTCCCCCTACAGGCCAGGCAGAGCTGGAAGCAGCAAAGGAACCAGGACGGGATGAATTTGAAGAATCTCAGGTTGGACAGCCATTCCCTCTGAGATTTATAACCTCCCAACCCAGTATCCCTAGCCTTGTTCTGCGGACATAGTTTTGTTGCAGGGCTCTTGGGTGGCCAGCAATAGAACTCCTCTAGGTAACATGATCAGAAAGAGGATGTGCTAGATGACCCTGGACACCTCTAGGGGTAAAGGGAAGGTGTTGAATGGCCAGGTCCAGGATCTTTTGAAGCCCCCTACCCTAGCATGGGTCCTGATGTGGTGCCTTTGGATAAGCACTCAACCTCAAGGTAAGTTTAAACTTCAGGGTCGGTGGTTCTAACTCACCAGCTGCTCCTTGGAACCCTGTATAGGGTCGCTATGAGTCTGAACCGACTAGATAGCACTTAATAACAACACCCTACTATGGGAGTCCTGGTGTGGCACCGTGGAATAAAGCATTGGACCACAAGGTCAGGTTGAACCACAAGATTGGCAGTTCAAACTCCCCAGCTGCTTCTTGGAAACCCTATACAGGGGTGCTATGAGTCGGAACTGACTTGATGGCACTTAACAATAACCTTAGTATGGGGAGTCCTAGTGTGGTGCTGTAGGATGAGCACTGAGCTGTTAACTATAAGGTTGGTGGTTCAAACTCACCAGCTGCTTCTCAGAAACCCTATACAAGGTTACTACGAATTACAACTGACCCCACGGCACTTAACAACAACCCTAGTATGGAGGAGCTGTGGTAGCGCAGTGGTTAAGTGCTTGGCTGCCAATGAAAGGTTGGGGATTTGAATGCACCAGCTGTTCCATAGGAGAAGATTTGACAGTCTGCCCGTCTGCTCCCATAATGATTAGAGCTGTGGAGACCTCCCACTCTGTAAGTAGAATGTCTCTCTATGTGTGTATGGTCACTAGGAGTAGGAATCAATGGAACAGTGATGATTTTTTTTTTATTTAGTTTACCCTAGTATGCACTTGGTTGCTAACTGAAGGTTGTGGTTTTGAATTCACCCTGAGGTACCTGGGAATAAAGGTCTGCCTGTCTACTGCTGAAAAAATCATTCATCCAAAGCCCTATAGCATAGTTCTATTCTAACATATGTTGTTGTTGTGAAGTGCCATCGAGTCAATTCCGATTCATAACAACCCTGTATAGGGTTTCCAAGGAGCAGCTGGTGGGTTTGAACTGCCAGCCCTGTGGTTTGCAGTTCAGTGCTGATCCTACAGCGCCACACCAGAAGCCCATTCTCACACATAAGAGGTCACTATGAGTGGGACTGGAGCCCTCGTGTGGTGTGTAGGATAAGCACTGGGCAGCAAAGTCAGTTTGAACTGCAAGGTTGGTGATTCCCACTCACACCTGCCCCTCAGAAACCCTATACAGGGTTGCTATGAGTAGGAACTGACTCAGTAGAACTTAACAACAACAACATGAGTGGGAGTAGACTCCATGGTGATGGATTTTGGGATTTTTTTTACTTCCCCCAATCCTAGTGTGCACCAATGCTGCCCCTGGCATATGTTAACTCCAATCACTTAAGGTCTTCTCTCAACTAGGTGCAATATTCCAACTTAGGAAGGCAGATCCGTGGGCTGTGCTGGGTCCATGTAACTGACTCTCTTTTGACTTGGGGAGGGAGAGACACCAGGTTAACAGCTTCCCATGTATACAGTGAGGCTAGGGTAATCTCTCCTTGCAAAGAAACCAAAGGCCTCTGAGTGATGCTGAGTAACAACATGCAAATCTGGTGTCCACCACCACAGTGGTCAAAGCCCAGGGTACTGGGCAGACAGAGTCTGTATGTGGCTCAGCCAGGCCCAGCATGGAAGGACGTGACCGTGGACCTTGGGCATCCTATATCTCATCTTCAGGAACTGAGGTCTTCTGGCTGGTGGCAGAAGACCCAGATGGTGACCCTCTAACCTATGGGATTAGTGGTTCCAAAGCCTACTTCTTCACTGTTAACATGACCACTGGGGAAGTGAGACTGGCCAGCCCTCTGGACTATGAGGTAAGGGACAGTAAGTAGCCTTGCAATGGGGATGTGAAGACGCAGGGGGATGCACTGCCTGTGGTGGATGCCATACAGGTGGTGGGGGCCCTGCTGGTGTTCCCATCCTACTCAAGTTCCGTCTCTCTGTCCTGCTGCAGACAAATTTCCAATTTTCCATCACCATCTTTGTGGATGACAAGCACAACACACCGGTAAGTGGAAATGTGGAGGAGGAAGGGTTGTCCCGGGAAGGGAGAGCAGGCGGTTGGTGGTCCCTCCTGACTGTAAACCCCCTTGCACATGCAGAGACAATTCCAGGTAACAAAAACAAACAGAATTTTTATTTTTTATCAAAATTATACTTGTCAATTTTATCACCTTTTGTGTTGTTTAAAAAAGGTATTTACAATGAAAAAGTCATTGGTCTTGCAAAATTCTATCATGTGATCTCCAGCATCATTTCTATCACCAAGGCCATATTTTCCAACTAATGATCCTTCCTTTTTGTTCCCAACCTTTGTATTCCAATCACCAGTAATTTTCAATAATCTTGATTGAATGTTTGATCAATTTCAGACTGAGGAAGTTGGTAGAATTCTTCAGTTACATCATCACTGGTTTTAGTGGTTGATGCATAAATAAATAATAGTTGTATTAACTGATCTTCCTTGTATGCATATGGATACTATCCTATCACAGACAGCATTGCACTTCAAGACAGATCTTGATATGTTCTTTTTTATGATGAATGTGATGCCATTCCTCTTTAATTTGTCATTCCCAGTATAGTAAAACATGTGACTGTCAGATTCAAAATGGCCAATAACAGTCCATTTCAGCTCATTAATGCCTAGGTTATCAATGCTTATGCATTCCATTTCATTTTTGACAGCTTCCAATTTTCATACATTCCATGTTCAGATTATTAATGGATGTTTACAGCTACTTCTCTTCATTTTGAGTTGTGCCCCCTCAGCAAATGAAGGTCCTGAAAGCTCTACTCCATGCCTGTCATTGTGGTCAACTCTACTGTGAGGAGGTAGCTCTTCCCCAGTCATATTTTGAGTGCCTTCCAACCTGAGAAGCTGATCTTTTGGCATTATATCTGACATTATTCTGTTGCACTTCATCATGTTTCAATATTCAATATTTTGGTGCTAACAATGTTCCACTGGTATTCATAAGGTTTTTAGTGGTTAAATATTCGGAAGTAGTCTGTCTCTCCTTCTAGCTAGTCTGTTTTAGTCTGAAAGCTCATCTGACACCTGTCCATCATAGGTGGCCCTGCTGGTATTTAAAATACCAGTGGCATAGCTTCCAGAATCACAGCAACACACAAGCCACTTCAGTGCAACAGACTGACAGATGGGCGGTGGATTGCAAATAATGCAAATAATTGCAAAGTCATATATGAAGAAGAACGTGGCATCAGATTCGGAGGGAGATTCATTAACAATCTGTGATATGTAGATGATACAATCTTTCTTGCTGAAAGTGAAAATACTTACTGATGAAGATCCAGGACCACAGCCTTTGGTGTGGGTTGCATCTCAATGTAAAGAAAACAAAAATTCTCAGCACTGGACCAATAAATAACATGAATACAAATGGAGAAAAGATTGAAGTTGTCAAAGACTTCATTTCGCTCGAATCAACTATCAACACTCATGGAAGCAGCAGTCAAGAAATCAAATTATAGCCATGGTATTTTCAATAACCTCATATGCACAAGAAAACTGTAGATGAATGGATTCATTTGAGCTATCGTATGAGAATTTAGAAAGCACTATGGAGTGCCAAAAGAACAAATAAGTCTGTGTTGGGAGTACAGTCAGAATGCTCCTTAGAAGCCAGGATGGTCAGACTTCGTATCTCATTCTTCAGACATAATATCAGGAGGGTCCAGTCCCTGGAGGAGAACATCATATTTAGTAAAGTGGTGGGTCAGCAAAAAACAGGAAGACCCTCAATGAGATGGAGTGGCACAATGACAGCTGCAGTAGGTTCAAGCATAGCAACAATTGTGAAGTTGGCACAGGACCAGACAGTATTTAGTTTTGTTGTGCATTAAGTCTTTTACTAGTTGGTACTGACTCAATGGTACCTAACAACAACAACTTTTTGTTGTATGCTTTTACCAACATTTTAATTTAACAAAATATCAGTATGCTCCATCCTAATTC